CCCGACATTCTCGGGGTTTTCTCCCCAACTCCTCATCTGCCTGAAACCATCTGCTTTCTTCCATGCAATTCCCTCCCCCCTTCTCCGCCTTCTCAGCCTGCTCCCCGGACAGCTGGTCCCCAAAGGCATGGCCCTCACCCTCTCTCCCCCTGCTGGCCCCTGGCAGCCTGCATACACCATGCACATGGCCATGACCTCCTGGCAGCCTGCATACACCATGCACGTGGCCATGACCTCCTGGCAGCCTGCATACACCATGCACATAGCCATGACCTCTGGGCAGCCTGCGTGCACCATGCCTGTCTGCCTTGGGCTGGCCTGTAGCGTGTGCGTTTCTCACTTCGTGCAGGAAAGATTTTACCATGCGAGTCCCGGTGATTTTGCGAGTACGTTGATGAAAGCTGGAGACAGTGGAAAGAAGGGAGGGCTTAAGGCAGAAGAAGAGAGAAAGCCAATAGGAGAGTGAAAGTCGGAGAAGAGGGGGTGTTGGAGACAGAATCGGGGAGCAAGCCCTGGACGAGCGGCCGTTGCCCCCTGGTTGTCAGTCCCGTGGGGTCACATAGAGTGTAGATGAAAGACAGCAGAGACGCAGAGCGCGGGCTCACAGAGAGTACACGTGTGACCGTCACCTTGAGGCTTCGTACCTCGGTTTGGCGGGAATCGTAGGAAAGGTCTCAGGGGAGGGTCTTGACAGAACGTCCATGAGCTATCCGGGTGTGCCCCTCAATACGATGATTCCTTAAGCTGTGGGTGTCGAGGAGTCAGGGCGTAGTTCTGTTTTCAGAGAGCATCTCACTCTTCCAGGAGATAGTGGAGGACCCCGCATTCATCCTCGGAGGGGCCACCAGGACGGACATCTGCCAGGGGGAGCTCGGTGAGTGGGAGCGGAGGGAGCAGGGGTGGCAGGTGAGACGGACCGCCCGTGACAGCCAGCGGAGCGGGGGCGGGGGGCAGCAGGACCTCTGGGGTTGGGGGCCATTCCTGCCCCACCTCTGCTCCTCCATCCCTCCTCCCCCAGCCCGCCCGGCTGCTCCGTTGGTGGGAGCCCAGGACTCTTGCTCCCTGGGGTGGAAGTGTCTGGGGTTCAGGGCCCGTGGCTGCAATGGGGGGGTCTGGAATGACACAGAAAACACTGTCTGATATTTGACTTCGTTTTTGTTTGTTTGTTTTTTAAATATATTTTTATTGATTTCAGAGAGGAAGGGAGAGGGAGAGAGAGAGAGAAACATCAATGATGAGAGAGAATCATGCATCGGCTGCCTCCTGCACGCCCCACACTGGGGATCGAGCCCACCACCCCGGCACGTGCCCTTGACCAGAATCGAAACCCGACCTCCTGGTTCACAGGTCGATGCTCAACAACTGAGCCACACCGGCCGGGCTGTCCATTCTCAATGCTGAGAGGACGGACACCCCCCTCTCCCGCATAGCGTGTCCTCATCTGCTGTGAATGGTAACGGAAACCATGATCCCCGACTTCTGTTCTGCAGGCGACTGCTGGCTGCTGGCGGCCATCGCCGCCCTCACGCTCAACGAGAAAGCGCTGGCGAGGGTGGTGCCGCAGGACCAGCGCTTCGGGCCCGGTTACGCCGGGATATTCCACTTCCAGGTGAGCCCTGCCCTTGCCTCTCTGCGTGACGCCTCCAGCTGCCGGGACAGCCCCTGCCTGGGCAACAGCAGCACCCCCGCCACCCCCCGCTCTGTCACCTGTGTGGCGGCCGAGTCCACACTGATTTCAGAGAGGAAGGGAGAGGGAGAGAGGAGAGAAACATCCATGATGAGAGAGAATCATGGACCGGCTGCCTCCTGCATGCCCCACACCGAGGATGGAGCCCGCAACCCGGGCCTGTGCCCTGGCCAAGCAGGTGGGCCTGGGGCAGTTTGGTCGGATGGAGGAAAAGCAAAGTGATGAGTGTCGGCCGTGGGCTGGCCCTGCCGTGGGACCCACCCCGACGTCCGTCCCTCCGTCCGTCCCCACCGCCCGCAGTTCTGGCAGCACAGTGAGTGGTTGGACGTGGTGGTCGATGACCGGCTGCCCACCTTCAGGGACCGGCTGATCTTCCTGCACTCGGCTGACCACAACGAGTTCTGGAGCGCCCTGCTGGAGAAGGCCTACGCCAAGTGAGTGCCGCCCACTCCCTGCCAGCCACCCCTCCGGGGTCGCCCCCTCCTGGGCCTTCCCCTGCCCCTTTCTATGGAGCCCGGAGACTCAGCTCGGGGTCCCTGGTGTGGGTCCCGGGCCCACCTGCTGGGGGTGCACTCAGGGCTGGAGGTGCAAATGAAGAGGCCGGAGCCATTCTGCAACCCCGGGCACAGTGGGGGCCCCTCCCTTGCTCTCCCTGCGTCAGGAATCTGGCCTGGGCAGGGGCTGGGAGGGTGGGCAGAGGGCAGTGCTGATGTGCTGGGAACAGCTGGTCCTGCCACTGCCGCCTCCGCCAAGCGCTGGGCGGCTCACACATCTGGCCACAAACCACGTGGATGTTGACGTCAACGTTTTTCCCCTTCACGATGCTCCTTTTTTTCATTTTTTAAAAATATATTTGTATTGATGTCAGAGAGGGAGAGAGGGAGAGAAACATCCATGAGGAGAGAGAGTCATGGACCCGCTGCCTCCTGCACGCCCCCCATTGGGGATCGAGGTCACAACCCGGGCATGTGCCCTTGACCGGGAATCGAGCGGTGACCTCCTGGTTCCTAGGTCGACGCTCACCACTGAGCCGCGCGGCCGGGCTCCACGCTGTCCTTCCCCTTCCAGGCTGAACGGGAGCTACGAGGCGCTGAAGGGGGGCAGCGCCATCGAGGCCATGGAGGACTTCACGGGGGGCGTGGCCGAGACCTTCGCCACCAAGGAGGCGCCCCAGAACTTCTACGAGATCCTGGAGAAGGCGCTGCAGCGGGGCTCCCTGGTGGGCTGCTCCATCGACGTAAGTCACTCCCGTCCGGGGCACTGCCCTGAGGTCAGAGGTCGGGGCCAGGTGCCCGGCCACCCCCACGAGGAACAGGACTTGCAGCGGGGGAGGGGGTACTCGTTCTAATTAAACGTTCATTTATTTTAATTAAAGCAAAAGCTTTTGTATAAGGTTTTGGGGTGTTTTTTTGCTTGTTCATCCTCACCCGGGGATATTTCCCCATTGATGTTGAGAGAGAGCGGGAGAGAGAGGGAAAGACAGAGAGAGAAACATCGATGTGAGAGAGGCACATCGATTGCTTGCCTCCTGCTTGCACCCCAACCCAGATCGGGGGACCTATAACTATGTGCCTTTGGCCGGAATCGAACTCGGGACCCTTCAGTCCGCAGGCCGATGCTCTATCCCCTGAGCCAAACCGGCCAGGGCTGTTTAATGTTTTTTCAAATGACAAAGGGAAGACATACTTGCCGTGTCAGGTAGCTCGATCCTGAGGTATCTGAAGGCACGTGTCTGTCTGCCTCCCTCAGGCCAGCCCCGCGCTGCCGGGCACACGCCAGGCACAGCCCTAACCCCCCCCCCCCCGCATACAAACGGACACACACATATATGCACACACAGGTGGGCTGGCATGATTTCCCTAAATCGCATCTTACCGCCAATACCTTTTCAAAACTTGCTGTCTTCGCATCGTGTATCGTGCAAAAACATGTCAGTCGATAGAAGGAATATAACAGCATTTAAAGTAATTTCCTTTTTAATATATTCTGATTGATTTCAGAGAGAGGAAGGGAGAGGGAGAGAGAGACAGAAACATCAATGATGAGAGAATCATGGATCGGCTGCCTCCTGCAGGCCCCGCACTGGAAATCGAGCCCACAACCTGGGCCTGTGCCCTGACCGGGAATCGAACCGTGACCTCCCCTGGTTCATAGGTCGATGCTCAACCACTGAGCCACACCAGCCGGGCAAATAATTTCCTTATTTTGATACAAGCGCACACATGGCATTGCACCCCGTGTGTTTTTGAGCTCTACTCAAGTTTCCTGTTTCCTGGGGAACTTATTCTTTGTTAACGAGTGTTCACCCCCCCTGCGTCTCCCAGTGTGTGGCACAGGGTGGCCTGTGCCCCTGCCATGTGCTCCTCGCTGCCCGTTTGGTGCATGCGATTTGGTTCAAGTTCGTGCTCCCGCGTGATGGGGATGGTCAAGTTGTTCTGTTTGGAGGCAGGAGAGCAAACTGACCACTAGAGCCCCAGCTGGGGGTGGGGGGGTCTCCTGACCCGGCAGAGGCGGGGACTTGGCGAATATCACTGCTCGCCGCCCTCGGGCGTCCTGTGTCCCCGTCTCACGTGCCCTGGACCCAGGGCCCTCGCCTCGGGGACAGGGGCGCCTGGGCCGGGCACGGAGCTGGGTCCGGCCGGGGAGCCCAGGCTCCGGCTTGACTCGTACCACGCTGCTGCCCTTTCGTGTTTCAGATAAAAAATTCTGCGGAGTCGGAAGCCCGGACGCCCTTCGGCCTTATTAAGGGTCACGCCTACACCGTGACGGGAATTGACCAGGTGGGTGACATGAGCCCCTGCAGGCGGGTGGATGGACGGGTGCAGGGACAGACTCAACGATGCCGGTCCCCTGTGCTAACTTAGTGCCTTACAGAGGGGTCCCGGGTTCGATTCCCGTCCAGGGCACATGCCCGGGTTGCGGGTTCGATTGCCAGTAGGGGGCATGCAGGAGGCAGCCCCGACCCACGATTCTCTCTCCTCATTGATGTTTCTCTCTCTCTCTCCCTCTCCCTTCCTCTCTGAAACCAGTAAATATATATATTTTTTAAAAAGAATAAAGCCACTTTCAGGCATTCCAGAGACGGTGTCCTTCGAGTTTAAGGGCAGCCCCCCGTCTGGAGAGAAACCCACTCCTTTGCAGACTCGTGTGGACTAATGGCCTGTCCACCACGATTCTACCTCATTCCCCAGACTCAGTGTCACTGCCCTGGGGGTGGGGTGGGGGGGTCGCATGACATCGCGGGCAGCGCTGGCCGCTGGGTGCAGCGGGAATGTGTCCCCAGGTGCCAGCGCACCACGGATGAGATTTGATGTGTCATTAGCGTGTCATTAGCGTGTTGTAGCCCAGAGGCTGGCGGTCGGCAGGCCAGGTGGCCCGCGAGGAATCTGTCATTTCGCATTTCCTGGCGCGTTTATCCTCCAGGTCCACGTCCGAGGCCGGAAAACGGAGCTCATCAGGGTCCGCAACCCGTGGGGGCAGGTGGAGTGGAACGGCGCCTGGAGCGACAGGTCAGTCCGCCCCGTCTCTCTGGTGGATCCCCCCGTCTCTCTGGCGGGTCCTCCCCACCCTCAGC